TTTGCTACTGAAGTGCCTAGTAAACCTTTGATGGCTAATTCAATATCATTACCTTCTGTAATATTACATCCTAATCTAACATATCTTTTAATTGAATGTGAAATCTATAAAAAGCAAAAATAAATAATTAAAAAAATATTATTAAATAACTTATAATAAATTTAATTTACCTGAGCGTGATGAGAGTCAATTGTAGTTTTAGCTTCACCAGGTTCAAGAAAAATCCATTTATGAATTGTAATATCATACCAATCCTTCCAATATGACAAAATTATCATTAATTCTGAATTGTGATAATGAGGCCCATTATCAGAAATAATTGTTACCCATTTTGGTTTTTTTGTCATGGTTTCAAAAACTGCATTTAAGGAAGATGCATCTTGTTTAGTATCATCAGACCAATGATCATATGCAATTATGTTGTAGTTTTCTTGATTTTCTGATTTGGTGTACATTAATACTGAATGTAATGTCCACCCATGTTTCCCAAAAAATTCAGTTTTGGTCTCTCAAGCTGTTTTTGGCAATATCCTCATTTTATAGTCGATGATTATTACAGCACCATTTTCATCTAATTCTAATAAATTTGATCGAAATTGAGTATTTAAATAAACTTTTCTTGCCTGATGTGCTAAATAATAATATAATTTTTCCCTGTAATTCTCAATATTTTCTAGTTCATTTTCTGGCAATAATGGAATTATTTTTTCAAAAAAATTATGGAATTTTAAACAACCCTTGCATCTTAAATTATGCTCCTCATTACATGTACCAAAAGCATATAGCAAACAATGATCAAGATACTTATCATGTTTTAATTCCCCATTTTCACCAATATTAATCCTTATTTCATTCTCATAATCTTTTTTCATGTGCCTTCTAATTAGTTGAATTTCTTCAGATAATTCTTTCTATTATATATAGATGATGATATAAATAAAAAATTAATAAATGGATTAATAAATGAATAAATATACTATAATAAAAAATTAATAAATGAATTAATAAATGAATAAATATACTATAAATAAAAAATAAATGAATTAATAAATGAATAAATATATTATAAATAAAAAATTAATAAATGAATTAATAAATGAATAAATATACTATAAATAAGATTATAAAATAATTACCTGAATATTACTATCATTTATATATTTTATTACAACTTTATTTAAATCATCAAATACACTATATCCATAATTAGCACAAATTGAACATAGTCCACCTAAGTCATCTCTATATTTATACCTACCATTTTGTAATTGAAGCATGAAGGTTGTCCTTGACATTCCACCTGGGTATATTTCTGAGTATTTTTTCCACAAAGATTGCTTCTGATCTTGTAAATATAATAT